GAACAACTTTTCCGAACCCTAAAAGGTTCAAATTATTTCGTTACCCCCACCGACGCAGCGCCAAACAGTTTCTTTAGAAACTATCAGCCTAAAAGGCTGAGTTTGCTTCCATTTGTCATTGTCATCTTTTGTCTCATGGAGTTTGAATCCTGTGTTGGTCGACTTGCGGTGCAATCCTCAAATTGTTGGCGATCAAATTCCTTGTAAAATTGATTGATACGTTACCATTCCGATCCTTCACAATTCACAACAAAATTCTGTGTTCAGTGTTTTGTTTGATCACCCGAGCCGGCTTTCTTCGGTTGTAGACCGCACCAACACTCAGGGTCTTAAAATATAACTTAGAAAAATGTGTTACTTACACTACGGCATCTGCAAATGGTTACACGTTCTAGTCTTAATTCTCGAATAAGAAAACGGTAGATCCCGTTTCTTACGTCTTCTGTGTACTTAGCAGAGGACGTCAAAGAACCCGCACATCTATTGCAAAGAATGGGGAACGCAGCTCCTGGTGTTGTGAAATAGCATTGTTTCAAAATATTTGTAAATTAGGAGCACCTGAAAAATGCCCTCTTCAGTCAGAATTAGAATTATAAATTCCCTTAGGTCAAATCCCCCTCAAAGCGTTGTAAAGCACATTAGAGGATAGAGTCGTCGACAGAGTTGGGATAAAGGGTAACTCACTACCTTAAGGATCAAATACCTTGGTATATCATTTCTTTGCTCATTCTACGAGAGACCTTTTGTATGACCTGGGTTTTAGAACGGGCACATTCCAATTGAGTGTCGACAATAGACTAATTAGTTTCGTCTTGATCTCTGATTGCTCCAGCAAGAAAACCTGCGCCACCTTTTCGACAAATAAGATCACTGCTACTAAGCAGACGTTTTATTCGCGAGAGAGGACTTTTATCTGTGTTTCCTTGGGTCTTCAGTAGCTCTTTTCAACATCGGGTTGCGCTTCACACGCTAAGCACGTCACCCGCTCTCAAAGCCGTGCTTAAGAAGACACCTGCGTCCTCTGCTCGCGCGAGGGTTTTTCACTTATGTATCACGGGAGTCTTGGCTAGACAGAAATATCTCTTCATTATGCTTCGTTCTTGAGGTTGTTCATTAAAAATTTTCATCTCGTTCAGAAACTCTTTACAATCTAGAGCAAGACGAGATGATTGCTGACTATCTTAACAAAAAAACTGTGCATCACTCGCACGTTTCGAGAGTATCACGGAGAGCCATCCTCACGTGCCGCTTGTGCTTATGTGCGTGACCCATATACTCTTGTGCGTGACCTTTATGCTCTGTATTTGTATCACAGTATTTTCACTTCCGTTTGGCTACATTTCTTAAAGAGTCAGTCACAGAACGAAATTAGTTCACTTTTAACTGTTTAATTATTATGGTTGGTCTTCGATAGAAAACAAAGGCAAGAGACAAAGAATTACGCTAATTAGCGTCTGAGTAACTTCCACGTTCGTGCGAAACTTCATTCAAATATCTTTCGAACGGGTCTGTTCTCTCATGTCGGGCACAAATTATTCTAAATATATCGTGTTTTCCCATAATTTTCATAAGTTCATTTGTAAAATACAGTGAGTCAGTGGACGTGAACCCGCTCTCCATTGTTATTTTCATATCGAAGTGGCTCAAGGTGATTTCTTCTGCTCATTTCACTGGCAGGAGATTAACACATATATCTATCAGCACTGTGATCGATAAAACGGGGCATCTCAAACAAAAAAGATTGTATCTTACGGTGCTTAAGTTTAACCGTTGTCCGTTTAAATCTTCAACAAACAAGGCATTTCATAATACCACGCGCTGTGTGTAAGAAAACACAAGAGAGTCACAATGTACTTTGCTCGATGTATTTCAAAGTTTGTTATATAAGGCAGGTTTCGTCTACAGATGAATCCTTTCAAGACCAAGCTGTTACACCAGCCGAACCAGCAAAAAGACAGATTGTTTTCGTGAGAGCAAGGTTTTGAGAATCTTCGAAGTTTTAATTTTTGGGGACGTTTTCTCTTCTGACTCAGCATGGAAATTTTTGCATAACAGTTCAGCGAATTAATTTTGCACGATTACATAACCGTAAATATCGCGTGAGATGTCGCGTGTACACATTCTCCGTAACCCCTTGATGACATTGACACAATTTTCTGTTCCAAAATTTACTATTATCAGCCTTAAAAAAAAAAAGAGGAAAAAAACGAATTTACATACGTACAGAAATGATTTTAACGCTAGCCTTAAACGCGTTCGGGTGCGCCTTTAGGAAACATTTTACTAACTTGAATATCATTTGAATCTTGAATTACAAAGAAACTAGACTTTCTCTCGATGAAACAAAAAGACTGTGAATCAGGAAACTCACAACCATGAGAAAATTCTTAAGTAGATCCACAAACGAGAATGAAAAAAGTCCGTTATAGTCACTATTTGGGTCAAACACAAACTCAAGAGAGAAGTCCATGGAAAAGCGATTCTTTGAACGTGACAAACCCTCCACGGCCAATGTAAAATGATTAATACTTCTCTGAGTTTTTATTTTTATCTTCCAAGCCTCAAATAATGAGTAAAACGAGGGACTGAGTCGCTGAAAATTCCATTACGAAGAGAGTTGTTGATAAATTATGTAATCAGTGGAGCGACGATTTTCAGGTCGTCTATGCCGGGTTCCACCCGTTCGAGTAGAAAAGCAGAGCCAAAAAACGAATATCAGCAAGAACTTCCATTTTGACTCATTAAACAAAACAAGTAATTCGTCATTATGGCATCCTCTAGAACTTTCTGAGTGCGCTGTTTTGAGCAAGGGGAGGGTGCCTTGCATGAGTTCTTGTGCGAGTCTAGTACTGTTTCTACAACCTGAAGCACGGTGTGTTTTGCCCTTAAGTTTCCACCAGTTCCAACGCATCTATGATCACTCTGTTCAGTGTAACAATGTTGTAATTCAACGGTTTTATCATCAATTTGGGCCGCATCTACAGGCGTTGATTCAAGCTTCCCAAAAGGAGTAATCAACTCGACATCTCGTAAAACTTCCATGAACTCGTCTATATCCATGTATTGATTAGCGTCGAGGTCTTTATCAATTTCTTCAGTTTTCCCCGTTGTCATTTCCTCGCCGACCTTTCGAAGCTCTGAATTATTCTCCATTCCCTGAGAGATCTTCGGTGCACTCGAAGTAGACATCTATGCTTACGACGACCACGTAAACATTCACTTCACCACCTTGCACACGAAGTTTTGTCACGTTTTATTCGATTATATAACACTAGCACGTGCACGCGATCAAGGCAAGCCCGGAGGGCCTGGGGCTATACCTTGAAAGTTCTCGAAAATTCAACGGGCACGCTGGCGATCCTCAGAGGATCCGAAAACTTTTCGGGGTAGTCTTTTTGGCTTATTTTCTCGGGTCCCTCTGGGTGNAACAGATCATGAGCAAATGTCGATCTTATAGAATCCAGATTTTTAAATGCGCGAGAACGCGCGTGGAAATTGCTAAACTCACGAAAGCTATTGCATGAAAACAAGTCCGGTGACCCCTTCTTTTTATTGTTCCAATATGATAATAACGTTGAAAGGAATCATCAGAAAATAAACTAGAAAATTGTACGGAAGGAAATTTGCAATGTCTGAAAATTGCCTTTTTTCTTGATTTTCCGAAATTCCACTCTGTAGAATTTTTTAAAAATCTTTGTGCATTTTCCTTTTCAAGTGCCAAAAGCAATCACTGAAAAAAATCATGGGGTCACTGGGTTAGTTTTCAAATTATTTAAGCTACAAGCTGAAAAATGCGTCTGAATAAGCCTATGAAAGCATTGCCATGGAAACTGCTAGTGACAAAATGACACCTATTTTTGGATAACCAATGATTATATAATTCAACCCCGTAAAAGTGTTCAACTGGCCTTGGTCAGTCTTTCTGTTTTATTCTTTCAAAGTTACAAACCATCAAAAAGATGAAAACTGGTACGAGCCACCTTAATCAGACACCATCAGTCAACTTGCCAAAAGCAGTCTTTGGTCAACCGGGCGATTTATCGGTCACTTTGCATTACATCCTTGTTCCCTTCATCGACACCCTTGGTCACTTTGCCAACACCATCAGTCGCTTTGCCGACATACTGTTTAAACCTTAAAGAGCTCAATCCAAGATTCATTTTGAATAAGTCAATGACTTTTTTTGAAACAAATACCATATGAAAACCTAGTTTGTTCACTTTAGTAAAAGTTTTGTGTAGAAAAATTTTCATGCTGGTCATTTAGAGTAAAACATTAATAAACATTCAAAGACAGTATTAATTCCTTCACACCTCAGTTTGAAGTGATATTTTGGTGTTTTTTTTTGGTATATATAACACTATGACAACTTACAGCCACTAAGATAATGGTTAGGTAACTTGCAATGAATATAAGTGCTAATGACTCAAACTTTTATTTACAATCAAAATAAAATACTGTGACTACTTAAGAATATTTTTGATTGCTTGCAAGATAATTTACACTTGTAAATTCATGAACTAAAATACTACATAAAATTATGCAAAATATGATCTTAGCAAATTTGATCTCAAATCCAAATTATAAAGTTTGAGTCACAGGAGAATTACCCACAAAATCACAAAATAAATACTGATGCTGCTTGCACGTCACCCTTTTCCAGAAATACAGTAACACTCTACAAATATTCCTGGTGTTCATAGTTTATTAAGTGTCATGGTAAATCACCATAAATCTTTTACCTGATAGGCAGCACTTTCTATTGGTTTCTACAACAAAAATTTGTAAATCACTTTTATTATGTAGATACTGATGAAATACCAGGATTTCTCCTTTTATTAAAAAATCATATCTTCACTGCATGCAGTGAAGATACTATTTTTATCTTTCACGGGTGAGGATATTGGTGTGGCCATGGTTACCAACATAATTACCCAATTGCTGTTTCGAAAATGAATAAAAAACGTTGTCTTTTCTGTGGAAATTTCATCAGTATCTATATAATAAACAGAACATTACATGGCCGCTTGGGGATACGAATTTTATCTTCTCGTGCTGAAAGTATCTCTCACGAGATACAAGAGATACGCGAGATACGTGCAGCTCACTCGTGAGAGATACTTTCAGCACGAGAAGATAAAATTTGTATCCCCGCGCAGCCATGTAATATCCTCTATGTCTCTGGCTGGTGATTTGTAAACTACTTGAGTGTTCTCTGAACAACTCAAGTGGATTATTATGCTGATGCAGTCTGTTGCCTTTATAAAGTAAACTTTTAACTCTGTTGCCTTTATAAAGTAAACTTTTAATGTTTAAATTTTCTATGGGTTTACTGGTGCGGTAAATGATAGGTTTTTGACCACTTAGGGTGCTTGTTGTATCTCATTTATTTTATAATAATTTTAGTGTTTGATGTGCTCTAACCTAGTTGAACCTATTAAATGTAACTCTATTTTCTTTTTTCAAATTCACCACTACATGGCTTTTTAGTACCTTTTTCTTACCTAAGCTTATTCTGTTGTCTCCTCATCACTACTCCAAGAATCCTGACAAGGATTACCAAGTTGTTCTGTAACACTGTTATCAGCTTCTGTCACCTTACTGTTTTCATCCCAGGTACTACGATTCATCTCGGGGAGCCAAACTAATATGTTTGTATCATTTGCTCCACTAAAGAGAGTTTGAAAATATGGATGAAATACACAACAATTAACATTGTTATAATGACCACTGAAAGTAGCAACATGCTTTCCTGTAACAACTTCAAACACTTCTATCTTGTTCCCTGAAGGAACAAATGCCACTTCATTAGAAGTTCCATTGGATAGACAAAGCTTCACAGATTTCTGACTGGGATTGTGAACTCGACCAAAGTTAACAAGTGTGTTCTTTCCAGTGAATGTGTCCCACAACCTTAGCCGATCATCTGTTCCAAAAGTTAATAAGTATAATCCATCCGGTGAAAAGGAAATGGCATTCACATGGCCATTATGAGCTGTGTTTATTGTTGAAGATCTGGAACCAGCTTTGCCATTGTGCTGATCTAGTGAGAGTATACTTCCAACAGCCTTTCGCACATCCCACAAAAGCACCTTGTTGTCACAGCTACCTGTAGCTAAAAGGTACTCATTTCTTGGTGACCACGCTAGAGAAATAACTGCTTCTGAATGCCCCTTTAGGATGTGAATCGCAGAACCAGATTTCAAATCGCAAAGATAAACTCTAGAGTCCTCACACGCTGTTGCGACTAAGCAATGTTTTCTAGCATTCTTTGGCATTTGGTGATGGTACACAATGCCTTCAAGCTGAAAATTCTCCACAACTTCGAGAGCGTTTGTGTCCCAAACTCGAAGCGTCGTATCGACTGAACTTGATAAAAACATTCCTGTGTCATTCGGGTACCACTGAACAGTTTCTACGCTGAGTTTGTGACTGTCTTTCAGTGTCCTCTCTACTTTGGCGACCGTCTGACATTTAAAAACGTTTTGGTAGAAACAATCCTCTGTATCATGAATTGCGATTCCGCCATTTGAACTCGAGGATAACAAGTATTTTCCCTCGCCTATATCGATATCAATACATTTGATCCCCGTTTTGTGGACCGATTCAATCTCGCCATTTTGACTGAGTTTCAGAGATCGCACACGTTTAGTTCGTTCGGCCTGGGAAAAGCGATAGGTAGTACAACTCGCTTGTTCTCTCTTGTACAGAGACTGAATCATTTGAAGTTGGGAAAGATTTCCAACAGGTTCCTGCCGGGGGAAAAGCGAAAGTTGTTGAATAAGCACAAATCAAGCAGGCTTTGTTGAGATTTCGTTGTGTGGCAGAGTGAAACTGGGTACGACAAACAAACCATCATGGCGGACATGTCTCGCGTCTAGTCAGATCATAGTTAGTAGGTAGTAAGGATGCCTCTTTCTTGCAAGATCTGTGGCAGCAAAGCAATTCTAAAGCGACCAAAAACGGTAAGGAATCATGATTTTTTTCAACTAATTACTGTTTCGAAATTTTAGAATGTGCCATAAAAAGTTTGCAGCTAAAACTTTACTCAGGAGGGATGTGTCGAAAACGAAGACCCAAAAACGAAGACCTAAGACCTAAGACCCGCTGGTCTAAAACGAAGACCCTGTGGTCTAAAACAAAGACCCACTGGTCTAAAACGAAGACCCTGTGGTCTAAAACGAAGACCCTGTGGTCTAAAACGAAGACCCTGTGGTCTAAAACGAAGACCCTGTGGTCTAAAACGAAGACCCACTGGTCTAAAACGAAGACCCACTGGTCTAAAACAAAGACCCACTGGTCTAAAACAAAGACCCACTGGTCTAAAACAAAGACCCACTGGTCTAAAACAAAGATCCATTGTTCTAAAAACCGCTTTTTCCAAGGAAAGGCTATACACTAAGCTAAAATGCTCTCATTTCTGTAGCGCATAAATTAAAATGTTAACTTAGCGCGCGACCAACTTGACAGTTACGTTATCTCAGTCGGTACAACACGTGTCAAATTGTGTAACGCAATTAAATTCTAAGAATTTTTTAGGGCCTGTCGTACTACACCGAAAAATTTGGTTGGTACTTGCAAAAAAATTGAAAATTTTGTAACAGCGAATTTTTTTTCGTAATATAGCGTTCGCACTTCAGACGTGCGAATTATTTGTGTACCCACAAATGTCAATCAATCAAAATAGGTACCAAGACTTCGTGGCAGTGCGTTTCCTTTGATGTCGTTCCCGGTCAAAGGCTGTCGCAAAGCAAAATGCCTCCATGAAATGTTTTAATCGCCCTTCTTTGCTGTTTGCTTGCCATGCAAAACCTGAATATGACTAGTCGTCAGTTACTTCAGGTATTGTTGGGAAGGATTCGGCTTTTACGGATCCTGGAGACTTTAATACTCTGGTCTAAAACGAGGACCCACTGCTCTAAAACGAAGATCCATTGTTCTAAAAACTTTTTTTTTTCCCAAGGAAAGGCCATACACTAAGCTAAAATGCTCTCTTTTCTGTAGTGCATAAATTAAAATATCATCTGAGCGCGCGACCAACTTAACAGTTATGTTATCTCAGTCAGTACAACATTTGTCAAATTGTGTAACGCAATTAAATTCTGAAGAAAGCATCGAAAGTGCAAAAACCTCTGGCAAGAGGAAAAGTTCAAAGTATGAGACATTTCCTCATGCTGAAGAAAGCCTTTGCGACAGCCTTTGACCGGGAACGACATCAACGGAAACGCACTGTCACAAAGTCTCCGTGCTTATTTCGATTGATTGACATTTGTGGTAACACAAATGATTTGCATGTCTTAAGTGCGAATGCTATATTACAAAAAAAAATTCACTGTTACAAAATTTCAATTTTTTTGCAAGTACTAAACCAAATTTTTCGGTGTAGTGCGAACAGGCCCTAAAACATATATTTGTATATTCTTTCTCA